AAGGTTTCCGTACATATAAAGAACGCCGAAATCCGAGTTATAACGAAGAAGTTATGACCTGTCGAAGTTTCGCGACAGAACCGGCACGACACAACGCGACGTAAAAAGTGAATTTACGTTAGAGCGATATTTAGCCTTAGCAATCTAAATGAAATTCGTAGAATACGTTAAACCATGAGCGTGCATAAAAAGAACGTCCAAATCTGACTTCGTATGAGGAAGTTATGATTTTTCAAAGTTTCGACTTAGCAGTATGCAGCCCGAATGCTTGATTTGAGACCGAGCGGTTTTTAACCGAAACAATCTAAATGAGAATTGAAGATATCATTAATTTTAGTAAAACGATAAAAAGATAGGCGAAAACGGACGTCGGATGAAGAAGTTCTGATTTTATAACGGAGTTTTCCTGTCCCGGCCTACTAAAAATAAATAATAAAAATAAACTCAAAATTAGCCAACGGAGTCTAAACGAAAGTTGTAGATCGTAGTCTCACCTTCGCGTGGATATAAAGAACGTCGAAAACGGAGCTCGTATGCGAAAGTTACCCAATTTAGAAGTTCGACGAGTCAATTACGCCCAGCGTAATTTGAGTACGCCCAGCGTACTCAGTCGGATGCAACTTATCTGACCAATACTCGAGTGCCACCAGTCGACGCACACAATGACGTCAAATTACGCCCAGCGTAACTCGAGTACGCCCAGCGTACTGAGTATGCCCTGCGTAATTTGAGATTACCCAGCGTAATCCCAGACCCTCAGCCTATAAATAGAACTCGAAATCAGCCATTTTCTCTTGTTCAAACTCTTTCTTCTCTCTAGTTTTTGCCTCGTTTTGCGTGCTGTTTGTACCCCGAAGCCCCGGTAATATTCCCGAGCCCCGAAGCAAGTCCCGAGCCGAAGCTCTGCCCGCGAGGAGTCCGGTTTTTGTGAAGATCTTCCAGATCTACCGAAGAATACTACTTCTACAAGCCATAGTGCTGCCCGATCATCTTCTAATCAAGTGAGTGTGTAGTTACTTTCTTCTAACGCATAATTATGAAGTATTTTATACGAAATACGTGTTATGTGTATATATATTGTGGTTTATATGCGTGAGTGTGCGGTTACTCTCTTCTAAACACATAAATATAAAGCATTAGCTATGAAATACGTGTTATGTGTTATATATTAATTGTCTATATGGGATGGGCTTGGAATTGATGTTTTTATATGGGTGTTAAATGATTTAAACTATATATGTAATTTATATCTACAAATATGTTGGGTAGAACATGGGTAGATGAAATAGTTGATGTGTGTTGAACGAATGTGATAAGAGAAAGGTGAGGATATAATGGTGATGATAATTAGGTGATGATGATTAGGTGATGAGAAATAGGTGATGATAGAAAGGTGATGATAATTAGGTAATGATAAATAGGTGATGTGAGATGAGAGGAGATACCATAACCTTGACCGGCGATGTGGAAATTTGGCGATGTAGTCATCTACCAGAGTATAGATGGCGACCACGGACTATTCTAGATAACCCCGTGGAAACACCAGCAGGCTCATAACCTGTAGGTGATGAATTACGAGTCCAGGCGATGTTGTGGCTACGTATTCATGCGATGATACTCTAACCCTTACTATGAATTACGAGTCCAGGCGATGTTGTGGCTATGTATTCATGCGATAATAGTCTAACCCTTATTATGACTTACTAGTCCAGGCGATGTTGTGACTATGTATTCATGCGATGATCCTTAGGAAAAAGTCCTTAGGAACAATCATACAATGAAATGTGATGTAAGGAGATGAGAGGTAAATATGATGTAGGAGATGACCCTTAGGATAATTCCTTAGGGAAGGTACTTAAGAAATAAATGGAAATAACGGGGATGGGTAATTGGGTTGATTGTTTGATGATTGAATATAATAATTATATTATTGTGGGTTGAAAACCCTATATACCCACTCAGTTTAATTGTATCACAGGTATCGATACGAAGCTGCTTTGCACTGAGAGATTAAAGGAGATGTAAATCATTAGTGTAATTGAATGTAAGTTCTGTTTATGCTTATATGTCTGTATCGGAACATGACATCCCGAGGTTTTATTATTCAACGAAAATACATTCTCTTTGAGAAATGTTTTGATAAGTTATTATCATATCTTGTTTTGGGAACGAATTCCGCAACCGTTTTCTTTAAAAGATTACTCTGATTTTATAAAACAAAGCATAAACAAATCGGTCTTTTCTGGCCGTGAAAATGGGGATGTCACAGTTGGTATCAGAGCATTAGTTTAAGCGAACTAGGAAATTGTAGGAAATTTCTAGACTTAAACTTAGAATGCTAAGTAATGATTGTGAGGAGTGTGTCTAAAATATGTTAGGTAGTACACCTAAATTGACACAAGCACTAGTTTATTTTAGGAGTGATGCCTAAAATGCTTTTATGTGCTAAATGTTATATGTTGCCATATATGATATTATTTGTTCGGATCTATGGTCTGTTGCCGACCGGATCTTGAAACCTTATGTGTGTAGGATTCTAAGCGTACGTCTACGATATTAGAACTAGCATGTAAACGTTTCGGAGTGATAAGGATGATTTGAATATCTATCGTGAATAAGGATCTAATTTCACCTTATTCGGTGTATAGATAAAAAAAAATGACAAGAACCAGGAGTGGAGCTGGAAACGTGAACGAAAATAGGAATCAACCACCTGTGGTTGAGCGAGTGGTTTTTGTAACAGCAACACCTGAACAAATTACAATGGCTGGAGTGCGAACCATGATTCAAGCCATGATGGATGAACAAAAGGAGGAAATGAGACAATTGTTGCTAAACAACAGGAGTGAACCCTCAATACTAGTTGAACAACCTGAGCTAAATGAGGAGCAGTCGGAAGAAGGGAACTAACGCATCACCATTCCTTGTTCCTGTTCTGGCATGTTCCGCGTTCCATTATATCATCCTACTTTCAAAAAGAAAAGAAATTCTTACTAACGCATTGTACTTTTTGAAAACAACTCATTTATAGCGTTATACTTCTAGAAATCCACCAAGTTATAGCAATTAACGTTGTTGTAAGAGGCTAAAATGAACGTAGGATGAAATCATGTTATTTCTTACATGTAACCATATATTTATGGGTTAAATGCAAAGACATATCAACATATTATAATTTATCTATTCATAATAGTATCGTACTTCGTTTATTTTTATACTTTGAAAAATATTATCTAATTCTCTATTTCAACATCATACTTTGAAAATTTATCTAATTATAGTCGCGTCCTTAAATTGTATGCGTTTTTTCATTGCTATAATTGGCCATATTTTTCAAATTACATTGTCTTGATAAGAAAAAAAAAGTGCAGTGATTTGTCTTACAAGCAAGAAATAGCAATGTACTGTCAATTATTAATTCAGTATAGCAGTCTAAATCTTGCATTTAACCCCAAAAGAATGAAATTATATTGCTATTTCTTGTATTTAACCCCTAAAAAATATAAAACAGGGAAAACAAAATTTTCAGTAACATTATCTTAATAAGAAAAAACTGACCGTAGGTATTTCAAGTGTCTTAATAAGAAGATAAACTTAAAGTATGATGCTATTACACTAGCATTTTAACCCTATATTTTTAAGCCAGAAACATTTTAAATGAAAAGATGCATATGCGTGTCCTTAAATCATACTCATCAACTAATAATTATATAATATTTTATAATATTATTTATTTTTAAAATTTTACAAAACACGATTTCAAAACGTGTATGTTACATTTATGCATATAATGATGACATTGTACGAAACAAGTATGGGGTAGGGGTCGAAAAAGGATTTTCAAGCATTAAAATTATTATTAGAAAATTACTAGAATTTCAACAAAAAAAAAAATAATAATTATATAGAGTTGTAAAAATAACCTAATTTTGAAAATCTAATACATTTATAAAATTTTGATATTATTGCATTTGGACTAGTTTGCTAGTGTTATACAAGCCAATATGTTATAATGTATTTGTGACTTCTCGGTCCTAGTAAAATCATGAGACAAATACGCAACCTTGTGTAGTTTGAGGGATATAATAAGTTTTGCTTTGTAAATACCTAGACCCATTAAAAAGACTACCGGTGACGATTTACCATTGCCTTGCCTGGTTGTGCATGAATTAGTGAAAATATTAGGAGCTCGGACTAAGACTTCTAGTAACATTTATATGGGTAACCAACTGAAATTAACCATAGGAAAAATGGTGATTCGAAGCTAAACAGAGGTATCTTTATTTCTTGAATTTAAAATTGTCATTGTTTTTGTTTAAAAGTTTTTATTAATTAATTTAAAATCTATAGTTGTTTTTATAGTTTAATGAGAAATTCTCACTAATGCTTCACCAATCCTCGTTCCTGTTCTGGCATGTTCCGCGTTCCATTATATCATCCTACTTTCAAAAAGAAAAGAAATTCTTCCTAACGCATTGTACTTCTGAAAACAACTCATTTATAGCATTATACTTCTAGAAATCCACCAAGTTATAGCAATTAACATTGTTGTAAGAGGGTAAAATGAACGTAGGATGAAATCATGTTATTTCTTACATGTAACCATATATTTATGGGTTAAATGCAAAGACATATCAACATATTTTAATTTATCTATTCATAATAGTATCGTACTTCGTTGATTGTTATACTTCGAAAAATATTATCTAATTCTCTATTTCAACATCATACTTTGAAAATTTATCTACTTATAGCCGCATCCTTAAACTGTATGCGTTTCATTGCTATAATTGAGCATATTTTTCAAATTACATTGTCTTGATAAGAAAAAGAAAGTGCAGTGATTTGTGTCTTACAAGCGAGAAATAGCAATGTACTTTCAATTATTAATTCACTAAAGGAGTCTAATTCTTGCATTTAACCCCAAAAGAATGAAACTATATTGCTATTTCTTGTATTTAACCCCCAAAAAATATGTAACAGCCAAAACAAAATTTTCAGTAACATTATCTTAATAAGAAAAAACTGACCGTAGGTATTTCAAGTGTCTCTATATTTTTAAGCCAGAAACAGTTTAAATGAAAAGATGCATATGCCTGTCCTTAAATCATGCTCATCAACTAACAATAATGGAGGAGAGATTCATATTTCCAACATCCAACATTCATCATATACATTCAAAAGTAAAATAAATAAATAAAGAATGAATGCCATTCTTACTTGCCAAAAAAATAAAATGAAACCATTAAATTTTCCTTCTCACAGATTGAGAAGATTTGAGATGGGGTTCCACCCCATGATCCATGGTCGATTATCAGAAGGAAGCACGAAATTAAGCTCAAACATTTCTTTAGACAAATTTCCACCTTCACGGAACCCAACAAGCTTTGCAACTATTTCAGCACTTTCTTGTACATGTTCAGCATCATGTGGATTTGTCCATAGTTTGCTTACAAATTGAATCCTACGTTGCTTTCCCTCAAGGGGTACATCCCATTTCATGTATAGAAGTTCTCTTTCTTCTGTTGTCAAACGTGTTGTTAACCTCTTTGCTAGAAACTCCCTTTCACGCTTCAGTGATTTAAGGCTTCAGAAACAAATAATAGATACAGAGTTAGTTCCAGTCTCAATCTCAGTCCAATACAGTATAAGATGAAAAATTAACCTTGAAGATATGGAGATTGTGGGCCCATCTGTAGCACCACCACGAGCCGGGGTTGCATTTCCATGTTCGGTTAAATGTTGTTCGAGCCAATTGAGTCGCCTCAGCTCGACTTCCATGTAAATCTCATCAGCTGGGTCTCCCTTAAATAGCATATAGAATTGAGTTCTATGGATTATTGAGACAAAACAGAGATCCCATAATTCAATTATCTTCTGTCTTTGCTCTCTAAATGTTATATGCCATGGAACTGGGGACACCTCAGGTATGTCTTCTGTGTTCTCATCATTTTCAACATCATATCCTGCTGCTTCATTAGCTTCCAACTCAAGCACCTGTGTCCAACAAAATAGATGATTTAATCAACATTAAGCTAAATGCAATTAATTGGCTAGATTTGTCAAAAATAAAAAGTTGAATATTACCTGGCAAACAAGTAGCTGTTTTTGGTATTGTAATTTGGCTACACGTTCTTTGAGCTCCGTTACATAAGTTCTTATGCTTCTCACGTTCTCTTCCGCTGCATTTTGAAACAATTTCTGCATTTTCCTCATATTAACAGAACTCGAACGTCGATGTGGAGTACCTTCCTCGCTCTTCACCGGAGTCTCTTTCTCCGACACTGCCGGAGTGTCACCGGTGACGGTGTCATCGTTTTCCGGTGCTCTATTTTCACTTTCCGCATCAAATACATCCCGAGCAGATGAAAGAGGTGAACAAGGAGATCTTATAAATGTCGGCTTGTTGACCGCATTGCTGGAAGTCAAAGGACTCGACTTTTTCTTCTTCGACTGGTTTTTCATCAGATCGTTATTAGGAAGCGACATGATCAATTTATCGATCGATTTCTGGACATTTTCGAGTTGTTCTTCGAGGTTCGCGATGTTGCTTCCTTGAGAGTGAAGTCGAGTGATTTCGTCTTTTAGGTTAGCGCTAACGCTTTTGTTAACAGGGACGATGTTCTCAACGTCGACGTCTTTTGGCGGTGGTCGGATGGCGCACATATCGCGAATCTCCGCCTGTAATTTAGCGATTGTCTCGGCGGCGTCCTGGTTACCTTGGCGATGACACGCGACCTCTTTTTGAAGAACTTCTAGGGCTCTATTTGCTTCTTCACCTAACTGCTCTTGAAGGTGTTCTAGCTTCCTGATTTCGTGCATGAGTGTGAATGGAGCTGTTGAAGATTGACGCATGCTTTGTCGAACTGTTGTGGTTCGTGTTTTCTCGAAGCGCGTTGGTTCTTTTCCCACAATGACCGATGGTAATGTCCCGGAAAACGAGAGACATTTTTTGGCTAATGGAAGTGATGATTGTGGTGGATTCGATACCTGTGAAGTGTAAAGTCGAGTTGAAAATTGAATTCAGTCAAATTGAACAAAATTCGGATTCCATAAACACAAATCACATCGAGAAAAAGAGAAAGAGAAAAGAAACCTTTGGTTCTTCTTGAAGTTTACGACGTAGCTCGTCCACTTGTGACACTGCCTGATCTCTTTGTCTCCTCAATTCTTCAATTTCCCTCTCCATCTAAAAAAACAAAATCAATATTAGAAGTCATAATTCTGTATGTCAAAAACACAGAACATGTTGTATCATGAATACCTGACGAATTTTAGAATCTTTCTCATTTGATGGATCGGGAGTACGCAACTCAGCTTCCAATCTAGAAACTTCCTTTTGCAAATGCTTAACCAATTGTTTATCCGAAACAACCTAATAAAAGATTTCAACCACAAAACAAGATTTTAGAAACTGGTAATAAATTTGAAGAAAAAAATATACATTTATTTACCATGTTAACTTGTGCATTATTTGTTACTTCCTTTGCTCGTGTAGCAAAAAAGAGAGTATTCCTCGACTGTTCCACATGGCTAGAAGCGGGGCTCAAAGTGCATATAATAGCAGTTCGGGCATTGCCACCTAGCGAATGTTGTAGTATGCGAGTCAACTTAGAGTCTCTGTATGGAATATGTCCACTTCTTTTTCCAACACTACAAACAACAAAATCATATAAGACAAAACACTTTATATTTCAATAAAAAGAAATTAACTAATTAAAATTTTAACATATTGATATACCTGAGCTTCCTAATTACAGTTGTGAGAGTCATCAAGCTAAGATTGATATGACACCCTTCCCTGAGCCTAGCACCATCAGCATGTGTCTGTGATGCTCTTTCACTTCCAGCTAAATCTACAAAATTCTGCACAATATTAAAGTTAAATAGTTAGGTTTTGGTTTTAATAAATAAAATGATTTATTGTTGATTTGAAAGAAAATGTATGTTACCAAGCTTGATACAAAGGATCTAACACAGTCTGAAGTCTCCCGAAGTGTACTTTCTATTGTCTGCATTGAAGCCCAAATTTGTTACACATGACACAAAAGTCACAAAATAATAAATAATAATAAATAAAATATGTATACTTACGAGTCTTATTATTTGGTGTGATCGGGAACTAGTGTCATTTAAAGCAGTTTCGCCTACTTGTCTTTGAGCTGTAAATCATACAAAACAAATTAAAGTAAAGGAAACAATGTCATTATGTCACTAAATATTTCAGTTAACAAGTTTATTTCATTTCTGTGAAAATATTGTATTATATGCTTACCTTCACAAACACTGATTAAACTTCTTAAATGTTTATCATCAGTTGCTGTTTCCTCCACTAACTTCTCAACTACTGTTCCTTTCTGCATTTAGGGTTACAGATCTTGTTAAGACAAAGTAAAGAATAAATTCGCTATTTTTAAGGAAAAATATTGCTGTATATATTAATTACCTCCGGATCATCTAGAAGCTTGAGATTGCGTCCAGATTCTGAATTCAGCAAATCTCTTACATTTTCATTGTAGATTTCTAGGCCTGATATCTTTATTCTGAAGTCTCTTTCAGGAGTCTGTATAAACAACCCAAAATAACATCATTTTACTTTGGAATACAATGTCTTGATAAAAAATAAATGAAATAGAAGTAAGATGTTATGTGTTGATAAAATATGGCACATAATTTACCTGCATTATGTGTTGATAAATATCATTGACAGCTTTTTCTGTGATTCCTCTCATAGTATATGTCTTTCCACTACTTGTTTGACCATAAGCAAATATGGTAGCTGTAAAACAGGGGAGATTAAATCAGTAAAACAGATATAACAATATTCAAGACAAGTAAAAAAGGTTATTAGAAAAAGGTAGCAAATACCATTGATGCCCATTAGAGCAGATAAAGCAACAGTCTTGACTCCATCCTCATAGACAGTTTCTGTGATTGTTGTAGGGCCAAAAACTTTATCTGTAAGAAAACAAAGCTAGTTGAGTTACATTGTATCTAAAGAAAATTTATAATATGATTAACAATATAAGAAAATGAAGTTTACCAAATGTAAAGGAAGAGGGTTGAGGCACACGCTCATGAGGTTGTTGTGGTTTATATACAATAGAATGGTCATCAATGCATTCCCATGATACATTGTCTTTTGCCAGCTGTTCCCTTTTGTTTAAAGGTCTCAATCGAACTGTTACAACAATTTTCTCTTCACGCACTCTTGATCCTCCAGGTGTTTGTATTGGTGTTTTTTCAATTTTTGAAATTGGTGTCCCAGGAACACTTCTTACTGACATCTTGTGTAGTTATCCAGTTATCCAATTGCTTATCTGTTTAGAGATTAGAGATTAGTAAAGTCTTGCAATGAACACTGTTAAAGACATGTAGACTTGTTAATTGATGTGTTTCCAAAAGAACAACTTTAAGATAAGATGGCAGAAAACATGATGTAAAAGCAATACACAACTGGGTTGTGTTTGAGGTCAAATTCATGTTGTAATGTAATAACAGTATCAGTTTATAGTTTGTATCAATTGAAGTTTAAAAATCAGCTCACAGGAGCGATATCTGAGATAACAGAAATACAGAATGTTTCCTTAATTGAATAGAAGACATCATTCCAAGCTGATGCAATTCATGTTTTCTGCCATTTTAAAGTTGCAAAGACAATTGTTGACTATATATTTGGGCATATATAAAGCCATGAAATTGTCCTTAACATCAAGTTCACTTATAAGATGCTAGCAGACTGAACCAAATCAAACCGGATTTAAGATGAAAAATCAATTCAATTTTTTATTGTAATACAATAATATCTCCCTGATTTATCAAAACATGCCATATCAAGCACACAAAATCATTAAGCTCACAAAATCATTAACTGAAGTGTGCTTTAATTAGTCTATTTTTTCTCATTAGCAGACGCTTCATTTCAAATCAATTTCAGAACTTCGTCCAAGCATCTGCTGGCGATTTCAGCTTATCATTAAAAAATTGGATAACGAGTGCATAAATCTCTATAAATCTATGGAAACAGTTTCAGCATCCAAAAATAGAGAAAGTAACCGGATAGTTTCCTAAAATTTCAACTCATCGCTGTCGGATTCCACAATTTCAAACTGACTTTTCGTATTTCAACTAAGAATGGGAAAACAAAACATAGATCTACAATCGCAATTCAGCTATATATGGAATAGATTCGAGTATACTTCATCAAATTGACAATCAAACAAATTCTACCTCAAACCCTAGATGGAAACTTAGCATAAATACAATAGAAGAAGAAAAATTACTTCAAATTAAACATCAGAAATGATTTACTCACCAAAAGTCTCAAATCTTGTCAACTTGAAAGGAAATCGAGAGAGAGAATTTCGTAATGCTGTCTACGGGGTGTGAGAGTTGTGAGGTGGAAGAAAAGGGTTTTCAAATTACGAGTCTAACGGCTAGTCTCGAATATAAGTAAGTGTTTGAAAAGAAAGCGTCGTCGTTTCGACAGAATTTAGACTTAACGGGCGTTTTGGTATTAAATACATTCCGACAGGCTGACCACCGATTGGGGCTTTAGCTTTCAGTTTTCAAGTAAAAGCAGTATCCTATGTTACAGTAATTGCTTTCTCCAGGTAATAATCAGGCAACTAGAAGCCTATCGTGCTTTATTCACTTGTAAACTATGCAATAAGATTCATACATTATTCTGGATCGATGAAAACTGTCTTTGGAAAGGGCTCAACACTTTGAAGATAGGTCCTACGTGACAATGCAAGAGCCCTTAACGCTTCTAATAATTAAAACCACAAAATCTTTTATTATTCCGATACTTTATAAATGTAAAATGCATATTTAATTCATCATATCATTTTTTATGCCACAAAATGCTTTTGACATAAACTGCAAAATTACATTTCTAGCCGCTACTGAAAAGATGATAAATTGTTTAGAAGTCAATTCCTTCACATATATTGACAAGAAAAGAAAATCTAGCCGCATAAATATGCATATTATCCTATTACGTGAGCCGTAATAGCCTCATGCTCATGTATTATATGAGTATATTTTAAAACAATTATATATATATATATATATAAACATTTGAGAAATTTGAATTTATAAGAAAAATATTGAATTACTAAAGTTAATGTGTTTTTTTTTCTTTTAAATTTAAACAAATCATTTAGATAAAATAATCAAAACAAATTAATGATATTTTATTTTAAAATTTTAAAATTATAATGAAATTTATATGCATTTATTATTAAATTTAAATACCATATGAAATTTAATAAAATAGGAAAACCACAAAATTACATATGGAATAAAATTTAATTCAAAATAACCTCAAAATGACATGTGGGAAAATGAATGAGAGTGTAACAAGTGGCAAAAAAAAACATTCATTATTAGAGAAGATTTAAGTTCTTTGATAGACAAAAGTTGACAAAAACATATCCAGTGCTATGCCATTTTTGTTCGGAACCACGAAGACTGTGGATCACGTTTTTACTTCAAGTCATATATTGATTTTTATTTGGGAGCCCATCGGTAGACGGTGGGATGTTGATTGATCTTATTCTCTTTCCATTACAGATTAGTGGATAAATTGAACCTTAATGTTTTCCAAAAGAAATGTCTCGATGCGGTTATCATTGTTACAATGCATATTTGAAGAGGCATCAAACATTTATGTGTGTGTGTGTATATAAGAAATATACAATTGGGCTCAATGTACAGTTATAGGCTATCTAATGAACATAATAAATGGGCTAACTAAAATATAACATACAAATACATATTACGTCTAACATCCCCTCATAGTATGGACGGTAAGTCTTGAGCGTAAAACTAGATCTAAATTCGAGAAATAAATGAAGGATATGAATCTGATCAGATGCAACTTTGTCGTGTACAAAGTGTATGTCGATCTCGATGTGTTTGGTGTGTTGAACGGGATTAGTAGAGAGGTACATTGTGTTGGATAAAGTGTCTAAGTCCATAACTATAGTTGGTATGTACTTGACCCGATTTATCATGGTCCATTTGGGTTGCACTTCACCAGAACAATTTCAACTTTTGAGAAGAGGATTTTTATAGTTTATTATAATATATTAATATGAAATCATATTATTTAATTAGCATTAATCAAGAATTAATTTGGAATTAATTTTGTGATCAAAAGAGACTAATTAAATAAATGGAGATTGATTGTGTAAATCATTTATTCTTGTAAAGTAAGCTTATGATCCATGACTCTTTGTGTTTGGCTAAGCCAATGTGGTGACCCATGGATACTTTATGGAGGTTAAAACCCATGGAGCATAAGGAATGTGGAAAGTCATGCACATTAGAGTTTGCATGGTGTAACCCTAATCATGACTCACTATATAAGTAACCCCCTAGCTATCAAATTTGGACTAGTGAGTGTGTGCAAGATTGTAGCCGATTTTATAAGCAAAGGAGTTATCTTCCAAGTATTCCAAGTGTTAGTGGTGATTTGTGATTCCACTTTAGGCATTCACATTATTGGTGTTAGGCTCTTAATGTTCCACGCAACAAGCTACAAGAACAAGTATGTTATTTAACTTGTTTTATTATCCAAGTATCAAAGTTTTGTTTGCTAGTTAGGGTAATACCTTGGAAATTGAAAGTTTGCATGTATAATAGAGAAAACATAGATCCAAGGGATTTTTGGTTGCATGTACACTTTAGGAGTGTTAGAATGCTCAAAACCCTACAGTGGTATCAGAGCCTAGGCTTGTTTTCAATTATACTTGATGCTATTTGCTTAGAAATGCCTTAAAATCAAAATTATGTTGTCTGGATAGTGGACTCGTCGAGTCCCTTCACAAAACAGGCCAACTTGTCGAGTTTGTTCATACAGTCGACGAGTTGGAGCCCCTGAGTGCAAATTTTCGAGTTTTAAAGATGGAATTGGACTAGGATCATTACCATAAACTGTTTTTGAACTTATAAACCTGTTTTTGATGTGGTAATGATCATGCTTATCCAATTCAAAAGATAATTGTCAAAATTTCATGTTTTATATTAGTTTATATGATTAGTCTAATTACATGAAATTTATTTGATTTGAATTGTCTTGTTCATATTGAGTTTAATTTAGAACTTGAACATGCTTGTTAGTTTAGTTGATGATTTTAATGGACTCCATAACTTCTCCTCAAGTTATGGAATTCCAAAAAAAAATTATTTAAGTGAATCATTAAAAATCATAGGTTATAGAAAATAAAGAGTCTCATTTTAAAAGCCATTAAACTAATGTGTAATGAAGTTGAAAAGTTTTGAAGAGTTTCAAAACTTGCCATTAGGTTTTGGAATTTGTAAAGCCACACACAATTAATACTTTAATTGCAAATCCTAGAATTTTAAAAATTTAAAATTCAACCCTTATACTAATATAATATAATATAATATAATATAATATAATAATAATAATAATAATAATAATATATTTTATATTTTATATATATATATATATATATATATATATATATATATATAAGAACAAGTCAGTCTTAACGTTAGTATGCCTCATTCACGAAGCCTGTTTTTAAGGGGGTATAAGGTTACTGCCTATAAAATGGTGGTTTAAAGGTGACCACTCTCACCTACGGCTTCCTTGACTGGTGGAGGGTAGTTAGCCGAACGGGTAGGATAGGATATTAACTTTCATTAATTATAATGATAATTATCAAGTAACTAAAGGTTTTATAAATTCTCAATCTTAGTTACTTTAGGAAAATGTGAAATTGATATTAACCTGTGAAATTACACTTTGCATCATACCAAGTCGTTAGTGGAGCGTTTGTGGTTAACCGACAAACCAACATGGACTAGTAAGGGTGGCAAAGGGTAGCTTAATGTTTGTCATAGATCGATGGAGTGTATGTGGTTAATCGGCATACCGATTACGTGATAAATGACATTAAGAGTACTAAGTATATTTGCATGGTTATTCACACCTATTTTGTGATCCTCGGTATCCCAATCACAAACTTGAAGGGCATAACCGAGATTTAAACATGTCATTGAAAATTTCAATGAGTCTCAAAAGAATCTTGGAATTTCAATTCATATAAAACCTAATAATCAATTTCGTTTTTCATGGTGGAAATTGGTAGATCGTCGTTTACATACCTTCAAATATTTTGCAACTTGGATTACAACATCCCTCTTTCAAATTGTAAAATATTGTATTGGGTCCTAGCCTATTTCATTTTGGGTGTTATATTAAGGACTCTATATATAATCTAAACTTTGTCTTTCTTCTTTTTCAGATGCCTTCCAACAATGCTTCTTGCTCAAACCCTACCGGCTCCTTCTCCCACATGAACCTTTATGGGAGAGTCATCTTTGATGGGACTAATTTCAATGATTGGATAACGAACATCAGGATGCTTACTCACTATGACGACAAGGAATATGTCCTCAACAAGGAGCTTAAGGAAATCGATGAGTCTACCGCCACTCCTCATGATATTGCAGATTCCAAGGCACATGAGAAAGATGCCACCAAGGTAGCTTGTATCATGCTTGCCGCCATGTCTCCTGAACTCCAAAAGTCCTATGAGGACTTCTACCCTTTTGAGATGCACCAGGACCTGATGGAAAGATACCATCAGAGTGCTCCTCAAGAGCGGTATGAAATCATCTGCTCCATGATTACAACAAAGATGAAGGATGGTGAACCCATCACGGGCCACTTGCAGAAAATGCAAAGGTTTATAGACTGTCTGCTCAAATTGAATGTGAACTTTGATGATGAGCTGGCTATAGATATTATTCTACACTCCTTACCTCCATGTTATGATCAGTTCCACATTACTTATCATATGAACAAGGAGGAAGTCACTTTGAGCAAGCTTCAAGGCCTCTCAAAGGTAAATATGATGTAACTATTCCTACTGCTACTGCCCTAGTCCTGGAAATCAGGCAAGGAAAGGGAAAGAAGAGGAAGACCCCTTCCAAGGGTCACAAGGGAAAGTCTCTTGATGGGTCCTCTTCAAGCAAGACAAAATTCGGTCCTGCTGCTCCCTACTCCAACCCAAAAGAAGCAGAGTGATTCTATTGTCATGATAAGGGGCACTAGAAGCGAAGCTGCCCCAAGTACTTGTAGGATGTTAAGAATGGCAAAGTAAACCCACCCATGCAGATATTTACACTATATTGTCTAATAACTCACCGTATACTAATTCTTTGGTCCTTGATACAGGTTGAGGTATTCACATTTGTTCTGATTTGTAGGGACTAAAAAGAAGTGAGGATGTGGAGCATGGGAAGATAAACTTAATCATGGGGAATAGGAAAGTTTCACCTGTCACCAAGATTGGAGTTTATTCTTTATTGCTTTCTACTGGGTTAAAATTAGATTTGAATAATTGATATTACTCATCTGAAATGGTGAGAAATATTAGTTTTAGTGATTAGATAGATATTTTAGAAACTTGTAATAGATAAATGTAATTGACATTTGGTGATTATACAATGGATATATATATATATATATATATATATATATATATATATATACACACACACACACTAGTTGTGAGACACGCATGTTATACAGGCCGAATAAAACAAAAAAAATTAAATATGAAGGTTAAAACAAAATTTTATTTAAATTTGAAATTTAAAAATTGAATTTAAAAGGAAGCATATTAAATACTATATGAGTTGTAATATTGTAATTTATTGGTTATTTTCAATCAAGGCAATTATTAAATAAGGTGTAAATATGATGTGTTAATTAAGAAAGATAAAAAAAATGAGAAAATGACAAATGGAAAAAAAATATTTATTCAAAAATACCACAAAATGACAAGTCTCAAAACTCATGAGAGATTGACATGTAGCAAAAAAAACCTTCATTTATTAAGGAGGATATATATATATATATATATATATATATATATATATATATATATATATATATATATATATATATATAAGTATTGCTTGCTATCTTTTGTCAATTGTTTATTTTTGTAATGCACGTAGATCCGGACTATTCAATTTAAAGACGATAAGCATCAAAAATAATTTTTTTATGGAAGATTATTTAAAAGGGGTAATCTTAACAAAGTTGTAGTATATGTTACAAGGATTCTGTACATATAAAGAACGCCGAAATCTGAGTTATAACGAAGAAGTTATGACCTATCGAAGTTTTGCGACAGAACTGACACGACGATGAATAACGTAAAAATTGAATTTATGTTAGAGCGATATTTAGCCTTAGTGATCTAAATGAGAATCGAAGATCTTGTTGATAGTAGTGCAACGGTAAAAAGACAGACGAAAACGGACGTTGGATGAAAAAGTAATAAATTTATAACGGAGTTTTCCTGTCCCGGCCTACTAAAATAATATAATAAAAATAAAATCAAAATTAACCAATGAAGTCTAAAAGAAAGTTGTATATATTAGTCTCACCTACGCGTGGATATAAAGAACGTCAAAAACGGAGCTCGTATGCGAAATTTACGCAAGTTTGAAGTCCGCTTAATCGAGTACGCCCATCGTAATTTTTGAGTACGCCCAGCGTACCCGAAACCGCCTCAGCTACGCATGCAGTAACGTCACTCGGGCCATACACATGCGATGACGTCGAAGTGCGCCCAACTTAACCAAGATTACGCCCAGCGTAATCGAGGTTTCCAGCCC